GCAGTATAGGCGGACGTAAACGGCCGTTTCTGGTCGCCGTAATGCTCGTTCTGGGCCCCACACCCACACCCTAGTCAAGGAAACTGTTGAATAGTTTTAGGTCGATGTCTGTATGAGGGAGGCTAGATTTTTATCATAAATTTTAAAAATTATTTGAAATAATGTATAAGAGTTCGATTTCGCTCTTCAAAACAAAACTTAATAAAATCTTTATCTTTCAGACTTGAGCACAACAAACCCAATCAAGATGAAAATTTATTTTAGAAACTTTTTTTCAAGTTTAACATAAAAAAATAATAGCATTAGTTTATTGTATTTCACGATTGCCTGTTAAAAAATCATCCACTTTGTGATCTTTTAATTGTGGTCTAGCTTCATATGTTGTAATGACTACTTTAGATTTTACTTCCTATACATGAAAAAAATCATACAGAATCATATTAAAGGAAAAAAAACATTCACTTACACCAAGATATTCACCACGAAGACCAATATAATAAATACGAGTTGTTTCATCACCGAAATTCGAAGGAAAATATAAAGATAGATGTGTTACACGTGAAAAATGTGAGGGACTAAAATACATATTTGATTAAAAATTTTTTCAAAGAATAAAAATATTTACTTGACTTGATAAGCTAATGTACCCGATGGATCATATGTAAGTGAAATTTCTTGATGAGCTTTTCCACGTGTATTATCAAAACGTAGTTCAGGTAAATTACTCCATCTATTCATATGCATATATATATATAAATCATCATTCCTACTTTATTGAAATAATTTATCCACATACAATTTAACTGTATTTGGATGTGATGAATCATTTTCACCAATAACACATAGGCCAGTTATTTTTACAGCACCATTAAATGGTATACTGAAAAGTAATTCTTGTTCATCATCACTTTCAACTACCTTTCAAAAAAAACACGTATTCATAGGATTTTATTTGAAGAAATCAAATACAAAATATACTTTTGATCGATCAAATCGTTCTTTCCATGCTCGAAATACATCTTTACCTGAACCATCATGTTTTTCATTATAACATTGTAAATTATATTTATCAATTTTTGTATATAAATTCCATTGACCAACATTTGTTTCATCAACATGTTGACATGTATGTGAACATGAATGTTGCATAATTTATCTGAATAGAATAAAGAAAAATAATTCCTTTCTTTCTATGATATTTTTTATGGAACGATTTATTTTACATCATCAAGAAAAGAAGTTACATAATGCACAAATGAACAAAACAACAACATTGTTTTATGTACGTCCTTTATGTTTTTTTTGATGAAGTAATATACTACTTTCATCTCGTCGTCGTTTAGTCATTGGATTTCTTGGATCATAAACAGTTAATAATTCAGCATTCGTATAAATATCTTGAACATTATCTAATAATTCTTGAGATACAAAAGTATGTTTTAAAAATGGTGTTTCAACTTTATCAGCTATTTGTTCTGATTGTGTTTCATTTAAAGGTTCATTAATTTGTTCATCTTTAGCAGTATGAACTTTTACACGAAATCTTTCTAATAAATCAAGTGTCTAAAAATTAAATTCAAATGTTTTATTCAGTACAAAAAAAAATTGATGAACAAACTTGGGATTCTCTTGAATTTGAATGACTACTATGATGTTTTTTATTGTTTCGTCTTGTACCTGCCATTAATTCATCCATTAATGTAGTAGTACTTGAGATAACTGGTTGAATAGATGTAGGTGCAGCTAAATTTGAAATAAATTCATAAAATATGATTGTCAGTTAAAAATAGGATGAATATCCTCATGTATCCTTGAAATATGAAATAGATCTTGGTAAGACCGAAAAAAAGTTCAATACTTTCGAATGGATTTATCCGTTCAAACTGGAATTCTTAGGATATACTAAATATCATTAAACAATACTTACGTTCTGTTTCTACTTGAACGACATTTTCTGATGATTTGGGTGTGGATGCTGATGATGACTTTTTTGTTTGTTTTAATTCTTTTTTTAATCGTTCAATTTCAAGTTTAACATTATCATTTCTATCAAAACAAAACTAAATCAATCAAAACATTTTTGTTGTATTTTATATTTACGATTTTGTTGTTGAAATATCTTTTTGATTATCATCATCATCATCATCAATATCAAGTTGAAGTGTTTTTTTCTTTCCTTGTTGAGCTAATTTTTTTGCATTAAATTTTTGTCGTACTCGATCAAGTTCTTCTTTATCAAAATCTGCATCACTTTTTTCTTTTATTTTAAAATTTTGTTTTTCTATAGGTAATTCTTCATCACTTTCTTCATTATTTTCATTTAATACAACTGTATTTTTACTTAATGTTGAATCATTAGTTAAATCATGTGCACTTTTTCCTGTTCCTTTTTGTTTGAATGTCTATAAAAATATTAAATTAAGAAAGGAAAAAACAAATGAAATATATCTATACCATTGAAATTTTTGTTATTTCTTCTTCATCTTCTTCAGCTTCATTTCCAAATGAAAGAAGACCATAATTTCTAATTATAAAAAAAAAAAACAAAAACAAAGAATTTCAAATTCTTGTTTTAACTTCATAGAAAAATTCTACTTGATTGCTTTAGCTTGTACAGTTTCTTTCGACTTTTTATTTATTTCATCATTATCATCATCAATCATTTGTAATTTAGCTCGAGGTCAAGATACCATATTATCAAATGGATTTGATATAATCTATATACATATAAAATATAATCTTTTAAAACTAAATTTTTCTCTCATTTTTTTACTTCTGCTTTAATTATTTTATGTTTATGTACTGGTATTT